GTTCATTGAAGAATGCTGTTGGTATTTTGATAGGATTTGCATTAAATCCATAGATTGCTTTAGGCAAGTGGCCATTTTGACAATATTAATTCTTCCTATCCATGAGCACAGGATGTGTTTCCATTTATTGGTATCTTCTTTAACTTTTCTCATGAGTGTCTTGTAGTTTTCAGAGTATAGGTCTTTCATTTCCTTGGTTAGGTTTTTTCCTAGGTATTTTATTCTTTTTGATACAATTGTGAATGGGATTGTTTTCCTGATTTCTTTCTGTGTTAGTTCATTGTTAGTGTATAGGAATGTAACATATTTCTGTGTATTAATTTTGTATCCTGCAACTTTGCTTATTTCAGATATTAGATCTGGTAGTTTAGGGGTGGATTCTTCTGGGTTTTTATGTTCAATACCATGTCATCTGCAAACAGGGACAGTTTGCTTCCTTGCCAATCTAGATTCCTTTTATGTCTTTGGGTTGTCTGACTGTTGCGGCTAGGACCTCCAGTACTATGTTGAATAGAAGTGGGGAGGGTGGGCATCCGTGTCTTGTTCCTGATCTTAAAGGAAAAGCTTTCAGCTTCTCGCTGTTAAGTATAATGTTGGCTGTGGGTTTGTCATATATTGCCTTTATTATGTTGAGGTACTTGTCCTCTCTACCTATTTTGTTTAGAGCTTTTATCATAAATACATGTTGAATTTTGTCAAATGCTTTTTCACCATCTATGGAGTTGATCATGTGGTTTTTGCCCTTCTTTTTGTTGTTGTGGTGGATGATGCTGATGGATTTTTGAGTGTTGTATCACCCTTGCATCCTTGGAATAAATCCTACTTGATCATGATGGATGATCTCTTTGATACACTTTTGAATTCGGGTTACTAATATGTTGTTGAGTATTCTTGCCTCTATCTTCATGAGAGATATTGGTCTGTAGTTTTCTTTTTTTGTTGTGTCTTTGCCTGGTTTTGGTATTAGAGTGATGCTGGAGTCATAGAATGAGTTTGGAAGTATTCCCTCTTCTTCTACTTTTGGAAAACTTTAAGGAGGATGGGTATTAGGTCTTCACTAAATGTTTGATAAAATTCAGCATTGAAGCCATCTGCTCCAGGTGTTTTATTCTTTGGTCTGTTTTTGATTGCCAGTTCGATCTTATTGCTGGTAATTGGTCTGTTTATGTTTTCTGTTTCTTCCTTGGCCAGCCTTGGAAGGTTGTGTTTTTCTAGAAAGTTGTCCATTTCTTCTAGGTCATCCAGTTTTATAGCATTTAATTTTTCATAGCATTCTCTAATAATTCTTTGTATTTTTGTGGTGTCTATAGTGATTTCTCCTTTCTCATTTCTGATTCTGTTTATGTGTGTAGGCTCTCTTTTTTTCTTGATAAGTTTGGCTATGAGTTTTTTTATTTTGTTTATTTTCTCAAAGAACCACCTCTTGTTTTCATTGATTCTCTCTATTGTTTTACTCTTCTCGATTTTATTTATTTATGCTCTGATCTTTATTATGTCCCTCCTTCTACTGACTTCGGGCTTCATTTGTTGTTCTTTTTCCTGTTTCATTAATAGTGAGTTTAGACTGCTTATATGGGATTTTTCTTCTTTTTTGAGGAAGGCCTGTATTGCAATATACTTTCCTCTTATGATGGCTTTGGCTGTGTCCCACAGATTTTATGGTGTTGAATTGTTGTTGTCATTTATCTCCATATATTGGTTGATCTGTTTTTATTTGGTCATTGATCCATTGGTTATATTGGAGCATATTGTGAAACCTCCATGTGTTTCTGGGAATTTTATTTTCCTTGCATAATTTATTTCTACTTTCATACCTTTGTGATGTGAGAAACTGGTTGCTACAATTTCAATATTTTTGAATTTACTGAGGCTCTTTTGGTGGCCTTGTATATGATCTATTCTTGAAAATGTTCCATTTGCGCTTGAGTATAATGTGTATCTTGCTGTGTTTGGGTGTAGAGTTCTGTAGATGTCTGTTAGGTCCATCTGTTCTAATGTGTTGTTCAGTGCCTCTTTGGCCTTACTTATTTTCTGTCTGGTTGACCTGTCCTTCAGAGTGACTGGAGTGTTGAAGTCTCCTAGAATGAAGGCATTACATTCTATTTCCCCTTTTAATTCTGTTAGTATTTGTTTCACATATGTAGGTGCTCCTGTGTTGGGAGCATAGATAATTATCATGGTTATATCATTTGTTGGATTGACCCCTTTATCATTATGTAATGTCCTTCTTTGTGTCTTGTGACTTTCTTTGTTTTGAATTCTATTTTATCTGATGCACTACTGCAACTCCTTCTCTTTTCTCTCTATTAGTTGCACAAAATATCTTTTTCCATCCCTTCACTTTTAGTCTGTGTATGTCTTTGGGTTTAAAGTGAGTCTCTTGTAGGCAGCGTATAGATGGGTGTTGATTTTTTATCCATTCATTGACTCTATGTCTTTTGATTGGTGCATTCAGTCCATTTACATTTAGGGTAATTGCAGATAGGTATGTACTTATTGCCATCTCAGACTTTAGATTCGTGGTTACGAAAGGTTCAAGGGTAACTTACTTACTATCTAAGAGTCTAACTTAACTCACTTAATATGCTATTACAAACATGATCTAAAGGTACTTTTCTTTTTCTCCTCATTTTTCTTTCTTCTCCATTCTTTATATATTAGGTATCATATTTTGTACTCTTTATCTATCCCTTGATTGACTTTGGGGATACTTAATTTAATTTTGAATTTGCTTAGTAATTAGCTGTTCTACTTTTTTTTACTGTGGTTCATTTACTTCTGGTTACAGCTATTAAACCTTAGGAACAGTTCCATCTATATTAGTCCCTCCAGAATGGACTGTAGAGATGGTTTGTTGGAGGTAAATTCTCTCAGCTTTTGCTTATCTGGAAATTGTTAATCCCTCCTTCAAATTTAAATGATAATCTTGCCAGATAAAGTAATCTTGGTTTGAGGCCCTTCTGCTTCATTGCATTAAATACATCATGGCACTCCCTTCTGGCCTGTGAGGTTTCTGCTGAGAAGTCTGATGTTAGCCTGATGGGCTTTCCTTTGTATGTGATGTTATTTCTCTCTCTGGCTGCTTTTAATAGTCTGTCTTTATCTTTGGTCTTTGCCATTTTAATTGCTATATGTCTTGGTGTTGTCTTCCTTGGGTCCCATGTGCTGGGAGATCTGTGCACCTCCATGGCCTGAGAGACTATCTCCTTCCCCAGATTGGGGAAGTTTTCAGCAACTACCTCCTCAAAGACACTTTCTATCCCTTTCTCTCTCTTCTTCTTCTGGTATCCCGATAATGTGAATATTGTTCCATTTGGATTGGTCACACAGTTCTCTCAATATTCTTTCATTTTGGAGATCCTTTTTTCTCTCTGTGCCTCAGCTTCTTTGTATTTCTCTTCACTGGTTTCTATTTAATTTATCATCTCCTCCACCATATCCAACCTGCTTTTAGTACTAATACCCTCCATTTTGTTCTTCAATGATTGTATCTCTGACGGTAATTCAATTCTGAGTTTTTGGATATCTTTCCATACCTCCATTAGCACGTTAATAATTTTTATTTTGAACTCCCTTTCAGCTAGAGTCATGAGGTCCATGTAATTTAGATCTTTCTTGGGAGCTTTATTAATTTATCAGGGGTCACAGTGGAGTAGTATTGGTGCCTGGGTGTAGGAAAGAGTCCTGCTTCCCGGCTGCTATGCCTGCCTCCACTGCCTGAACCAGTGTGCTGAGCACACAGGCATAAGCTTTTGTCCCAGAGGAGCTGGATATGGATCCCTCTTTCCACAAGTGGCTGAAATCACAATCTCTCCAGGAACTCCGCCTTTCCCAGCTGTCCAACCCCATAATCATGAGAGTATCATGAAAGCATCATGAAATGTAGGTTTGTGCTCCCAGAGCAGAACTCCTCAGTTAGATATTCATCAGTCCCAGGCCTCCCCTCCCTAACTACTCAGTTTCTCTTCCTATCCCCGGTGAGCTGGGGTGGGGTAGGGGCTTGTGACCTGCCAGGCCAAAGCTTTGGTACGTTACTCTGTTCCATGAGGTCTGCTCTTTTCTCTGGCTATATGCAGTCTGGCACAGTCCTCTTTCCTGTTGCTCTCTCACGATTAGTTCTACTAATTATATGCAGTATTAGGATGAAGCATCTCTCTCACCTCTCATGCCACCAGCTTTAATCCCTTCTCCCAGCAAAGGATTTTAATAAGGGAGTGCTGAGATCAGATTTCCACATTGCCAAGACCACACTGGCAAGGCTGTGGAAGATGCTTGGGGGGAAAAAAAACTGGGGGAACATTCTCCTTGGATCACTGGCTGCTACTACTGATCTTATTTCAGGGTTGGGGATGGGTCTGAGGAAGCACCTGCCACAGAGTACGCCTTAATGAATGACCAGATGTTGGGAGAAGACAGCAAGCTGCAGGTGGAGAGAGGGAGGTACCAGCCAGGGAGCCTCATCCTACCGTTCCAGTGCTGGTCATATTGAAATAAAATTGTAGCTATTGATTCAAGTAGGACACAAGGGATTTCCACATCTGCACTGCAGGGGACTATTGCTGCAGACCATTTCAAGGGTTTCATAGGAAATACAAAAATAAAACCTTGTCTCACACTCATACACACCCCCTGAGAACCTACACTTGCGCCTGTGTCATGCTTCTTGCAACATCAGAACTCACAGGAAGGGTAGAAACTAGCCACCCAGTACTGCAGACTCCCGGAGAAAATATTTTCTTAGAATTGGCAAATGGGTGGACTTCCCTATTTCTTCAAGAAGTATTTCTAGCAGATGTTTCATTTTTTAATTTTAATTATTACAAGATCTGCTTCAGGAACCTAAAAGTAAGCAATCCAAGACTATGGTTCTCCCAGGGCCACTACATATGTCTGAAGTTTTCTTCTCTATATTTTAAACCCCTCAGACACCATAAATCTGAAAACTTTCAGAAGGAGCATTAATTTCATCTAAGAATGGAGAAGCAAATATGATAACATAGTCACTTGAAAATGAAATATTTCTTGAAAAACTTGTACAAGAAAGGCAATTTTGTACATCAATTTACAAAAGAAGAACACAACAAAAGAAATTACATATATATATATACACACACACGTATATATATAAATGTTATATAGATACATAGAAGGAGAGATGTGTGGAGAAACTTTTGTAGACATGATAGAGCCATCAAATCAGCAATCCATGGGCTTCCTCCACACTTGGTCTAGACTTGAAAAACCAAACAAACAAACAAAAACCCACGTGTTAAAGCCATACTTTTTCTGGTTTGTGTTACTAGGGACTGAATGTTATTCCTAAGGGATTGCCTGCACAATGTTCTCTGCCATGTAGGGGTGGCGGATGGAAAGGTTCCAAACCAAAGAAGGTCTCAGCACTGCCTCAGACACTGGGCCTGAAGCCCCAAAGCCATACATGGAGGTGCCAGGCTCCACGTGAGGTATCTGTGACCGCATTTTGAAGAACGGGACTCTTGAAAAGGGTACTGTAATCACAGGAAGCACAGCATGGATTGTGGGTCGAAGTCCGCCAGGCCTGCCAGCAAAGGAGGTGCTCCCTGCAGGAGGGCCCACCTTGGGGCAGAGAGCACAGCGTGGTCCTGCGAGGGGCTGGCTCTGACCAACTACAGGACAGAGGCAGGGGGTGGGTCAGGGAATGGGAGTTACTGTTTAATCGGTGCAGTTTTACTTTGGGAAGGAGAAGATGACCTGGAATTGGATGGTAGAGATGTGTGGCAGGTAGTGAGGCATGACAAAGTGAAAGCATTTAGGTCACTGAACTGTGTATTTAATGATAAAAATGGAAGCTTGTATGCGATGTCTATTTTACCACAATTAAAAAAAAAATCCCAGCAGTGCTTGTAAGGCTGTCTAAACAGAGGCAGAACAGTGAGGAGCAATTTTCCGGCCACTGTTAAGTGGCTGTGAGTAAAGGACACCAGGGGCGGCCCATGCCGGGGATACCTTCTAAGAGCCACTGTCTCCGAACCCTCCCACCACAGGTTGCACGTGGACTCAGGCCTCCTTCAGCTTCCTGGTCCCACACAGCCACCTGGCTGCCATGCCCAGCAGTTTCCCAAAGAGCCACACGGTGACCAGGGTGACCAACAGCAGGAACAAGAAGACGTCTAGCAGGTACTGCTCATGCCAGGGCTGCTGCAAGGCATAGGGCTTGAGGTGTGCTGCACCCCCTGTCTGGAGGATGTGGTCGATCCAGCCCACCAGCCTCTGGGCAGGGGTCAGGGGGTGGGAGTGCCTGATGATGCTGGTGGCCACCGCTGCTGATTTGTACCTGTAGGGAAGACAGGGCATGACATACTCAGGAGACTCACAAGTCTTAGCAACCTGGCATCACACAGAACACGCACTTTGCAACGTATGCACAAAAGACTCAGTGTCAAGGAAAGGTTGTTGGCCTGCTCTTGCCAGTGTCTAGGTGGGTCCCTTGAAAAGTTCAAACTCATACCTACATGCAAAGACCCATGTTCAGTGCTAAAGTGTAAAAAATTGACTTCATCAGTCAAGACTAGTCTCCACCCAGGTAGGCTTATGGCACAGTAAGGGAAAAGTACATATGTGTATACATGATGTACTACATTCATGAGACAGGGTTTCTATCCTTGAAACCCTATAAGATATTCTACTTTGGTTACAAAATAACATGTTGTGTCTGATGAAAATTTACCTTGGGATCAATGGGTCCCTTTTACTGACTCACATACCAGAAATTTATTCAAAGTTACTTTGTGGCAGCCCTGAGTGGGGGGGCCCTGGGAACATAGTGGAAACGAGACACGGGTTGCTATCTGGGGGAGCTGAGGTTCTGCACTCTAGTGTGGGGGGACAGAGAAAAACTAAAACGTAAAGAAATGGGGGTATTTACAGATCCCAAGGATTGTTAAGAAGAAAATAATGAATCACAATGGGAGTGGGCGGGAGAGGAGCCCAAGTAGGACTGTCAGAGTGGGAGCCACCCCTCTGAGGAGTCGACATTGCAGGGGAGACCTGAATGTCATCAGGAGCTGCCTGTGAGCAGAAGGGGAGGATGCTGCAGGGCGCAGCACAGACAAAGGGCCTGACCTCAGTTGGAGCCCCACTACACAAGAGCCTGTTAAATATAGTGTTCTCAGAGACTCCCCGTATGTACGTCGTGTCCCTCACCACCCCTCAGGCAGGTTATTCTCAGCCTCTAACCTAAATTGTCTGGGCTTCCTTTCCCAGGAAGCAGGTCAGGGGTCAGCATCACACACATATATTATTCTGTGTCTAGGAAGCTTCAGCCTATATTGCAAACAAGATCCACACAGTACCCTTCGTGTTTATTGTCTTCATGCAGCGTGTGTGCCCCCAGGTCCGAAGAGCCACGTACCTCTTGTCTTCTATGACTTGCTTCATCTTCAGAGCCAACATCTCAGCCTTCAGCTGCTTTAACTGCAGGGAGACACCTAAATTTTTGACTTCTATTCGGACCACATTTTCATGCTGGTCTGAAAGGACAGGAATCCCCACCATAGGCACGCCGTGTTGGATGGCCTCCATTACGCTATTCATCCCACCATGGGTGACAAAAAGACGGATGCGAGGGTGAGCTGTTGGAAATAAAGAGAGCAGAACATTTCAGAATGGGAAGTTTCAGAACAATGGGGAAAGCAGCAAGGGCAGAAGAAAATGTCATGGGATCTCAAAGTGTTTTGGAGAAAATGAATTTATTCATTTAGCCTAGGACACACTCAAGGGGACAGGTTCCAGGACACAAAATGCTGGGCTTGTCTCTGAACAGAGATGCCTCTAAGTCTATGTCATCCAACTAAGGCTTAGAATCCAGGGGCACTTCAAAAGAGAGTGATAAGAGAGGCATATCCCTCCTCCTGGCCATGAATCCATCCACCCATCCATCTGTTAACCCATCCATCATCCATCCATCCATCCGTCCATCCATCCACCCATCCACCCATTCACCCATCCATCCATCCACCCATCCATCCATCTGTCCACCCATACATCCATCCATTCACTTATCCATCCATCCATCATCCATCTATCCATCTGTCCACCCATCCACCCATCCATCCATCCACCCATCCATCCGTTCACCCATCCATCCATCCATCCACCCATCCATCCGTCCACCCACCCGTCCATCCGTCCACCCATCCATCCATCCATCATCCATCCATCCATCCGTCCACCTCTGCACCCATCCATCTATCCATCCACCCATCCACCCATCTATCCATCCACCCATCCATCCATCCATTCACCCATCCATCCATCCATCATCCATCCATCCATGATCCATCCATCCTTCCGTCCACCCATCCACCCAACCATCCGTCCACCCATCCATCCATCCATCCACCCATCCATCCATCCATCATCCATCCATCCATCATCCATCCACCCTTCCGTCCACCCATCCACCCATCCATCTGTCCACCCATCCACCCATCCATCCGTCCACCCATCCATCCATTCACCCATCCACCCACCCATCCACCCATCCACACATCCATCCATCCATTCACCCATCCATCCATCCATCATCCATCCATCCATCCGTCCACCCATCCACCCATCCATCCATTCACCTACCCATTCATCCATCCACCCATCCATCCATCCGTTCTTCCATCCATCCATCCTACCTTCTCTCTTCACTCTGCCTCTGAATTCGCTTTTCCATCTGTTTCCCCCGTAACTTCTCCCAGGGTGCACTCTCTCCGTTCCTCTCCTTATGTTCCTCCCTCCCTCTCCATCTCCCTCTCCACTTCTCTGTGTGCCTGGCCCTGTCTCTGTCTCTCCCATTCTCTCTCTCTCTCTCTCTCTCTCTCTCTGACTCTCTAGGTCTCCCTTTCTCTCCTCCACTGTGCATTCATTTTCCTCTTGTCTGAATTCTTCACACTTTCACTGACATCAAAATGCATGCAGCACTTATAAAACTTAGTCATGCACTTTCTCCTCAATTTTATGAAAAATCCTTTAAAGTAGGAATGATGGACTACATACCTCAGTATTTTCACTTCCTTTCTACCCACCCTACCCTTACTTAGATAACACTAAAGCAAGTGTTGACAACGAGTTCATTTCAAACTCTACTTCTCAACAGCAACGTGCATCAGGATGTTCTTGTATTTCCTGAAAATGAGAATCCTGTCCCCTACCCCATGATCTATGATTCAAATATGCAGCACTTCCTCTCCCTTAAATTCCCAATATGCTTTGAGGCATTATCTCGATTAGGAACTTGTGATGCAGTCCGTGGCTGTGGCAGTGAGGGGTGGGCCCAAAGCAGCACAGGGACAAAGGGAACCTGAGGGGGTAAGGGCTCCCTGTTTACAGAGAAATGATGGGCTGCATAACTGGCTGGAGGTCACCTAGCCTGGCACTCAGATAGCTTGGTGCCCCCACCAGATACCATGGACATCCACACTCTGAAGGTGTGACCTGCTCATGCCTTATGTGTCTAAGGAGGATGATCAATATGTGTGGGTGTTTGTATAATGGCAGGTGGCTAAACAGGTGCTCAAGAGGCCACAGAGAAGAGTGGCAACATGCTCCCTGTTACATGTTCTATGAGTTCACATACTGCCTTGGATTGCATTTGGGTGAATTTGCTTAGTGCCAAATATGGCAAGCTCAAAAAACCTGACAAAAATATCACTCTGGTCGGAATAAAGGCTGCAAGGAAAATGGCTGTTGCTGCCATGTTGGAAAGATAACCTGTTTTCTCAGAAGGTGCCGCTGCTTCTTTGGCTTGTCCTCTGAAGATTCCATTCAGTTATCAGCTGGCCTCATGCTGATGGGTTTGCCCCAGTAAATCAGCACCCTGATGAGTCCTAAAATCACAAAATGGAAAGAGACAAGCAAACCAGGGCACTCCTTACCCAATAGGTCGTTCTGAGGAAGCCAGTCCACGATTTTCACATTTGTTGCCAACTGGATGTCCTTGGGCCAATGAAGACACTTACATGACCATATCACCCCTTGGGAAAGATGAGTAAAGGCATTGTTCATCTCCATGAGAGCCTCCTGGGACTGATAGGTGCTCACCATGGAGCCCAGGGCCACCAGGACAAAGCCAGAGTCACCAAACTTGGCAATGAAATGCTCAAATTCCTGAAGACAGGGAAGAAAGGAAATAGGTTAATGACATCTGCAAAAGCATAGATAACCTGAAATTAAAGTCACTGTTTACTGAATTCACCCTCCTGTCAGTGCCTAGAGCTCATTGTCTTGAGATTTACCTCATGTTCCCTGGACAGCTCAGTGTCTTCTGTACGATGCTCATATCCACTGTGTCTGGATGACCTTGAAGTCATTTTTGAGAACCTCAGGACACATTTTCCCATATAAATATCTTTTTAAATCACAAAGGGGTGTGGTAGGAGCTTTAGATTATGGTGCCACAAGATCATGTGCCACAAGAGCCTACATTGCACATGAAGTACTGCAGGACTGACATGTAGATCCAGACCTCTGTGTATAACAATGCTTTATGGAAGAAAGAAGTTGAGATGGTAGGAATCTCTTTCTTCATTGAAAACATGACCTAGTTCCAGGGTCCTCATCCCTCACTGTTGGTCTGGAGTGATATAGTCATTGGGACTATTCCAATGCCAAACCAGAGGTGCAGGTGCCTTGGAGAAAGCAGGCCCCTGTCCTGGCCCAGTGGTGGGTGGTGGAACTCCTAGATGCTGATATAAAGATGCTGGGAAAATATGTCTCCTCCATATGCTTATGAGCATTTGTATATCTACTTAATGAGTTTTCTGTTAAGGTTTTTGGCTTTTTTTTTCCCTTGCTTAGTTTTGAATTTTTAGAGTTCTTTTATATTGCGTGCATATATGTGTATATACATGTCTATAAGTGTATATTTATAAATTTGTTGTAAAGACTGTCTTTTCTCCATGGTTGTCTTTAATCCTTTGTCAAAGATCAGTTGACTAAATTTATATGGGTCTATTTCTGGGCTCTTCATCTGTTCCATTAACCAATTTGTTGATTTTTTGTCAAAGCACAAGGTGTTGGTTGCTGTAGTTTATAGTAAATCACAAAGTTCAGTGATGTTAATTCTCCAAATTTGTTTGTTATCTTTGGGCTCTTTAGAGTTTACCTCTCCACACAAATTTGGGGATTGGTTTGTTAATAGCCACAAAATAACTTGCTGAGATTTTGATTGCGATTGCCTTGAATCCATAGATCAAATTGCAGAGAACTGACATCTTGACAATATTGGATCTTCCTGTCATGAATATGGAACCACTCTTCATTTATTTAGTTCTCTAATTTCTTCCACCAGAGTTTTGTATTTTTTCTCATAAACACCTTCAACATGCTTTGTTAGATTTATACCTAAGTCTTTTATTTTTGGTGGTTCTAATGTAAATTTGTATATGATAATGTGTTTATAGTTTCACATTCCTCTTGCTCATTCCTGGTATACAGGAAAGGGATTTATATTGTCTATTAAACTTATATCCTGCAACATTGCCATAATTGTTTATTAGTTCCAGGATTTTTTTTTCTGACTCAGATTTTCACATGAATCATCAATTCTTCTGTGAACAAATCAGTTTATTTATTCTGTCCTTACCTATATATGCCTTTTATTTATTTGTGCCTGTTGCTTCAACTGGAACTTTCAGTATGAGGCTGAAAAGCAGTGGTGAGAGCCATAATTGCTTTATACCTGATAAGTTATCTCATCACTTTCTTTATATGTCCTTTGATACATAGAAATTTTTAATTCTGATGACGAAGTCCAATTTATCTATATTTTCTTTGTGACTCATGCATTTGGTGTCACATCTACAAATCCTTAACCAAATCCAAGTGCATGCAGATTTATCCCTCTGTTTTTCTCTAAGAATTTTACAGTTTTAACTGGGTATTTTTTTTAGGCTACTAATCATTTTCAGTTAGTTTTTGTATGTGATGTGAGCAAGGCTCAAAATTCATTCTTTTTCATGTGATATACAGTTATTCCAACACCATTTGTTGAAGAGACAATTCTTTCCTTCACTGATTGGTCTTGGCACTCTTTTCAAAAATGAATTGGGCCCAGATATATGAGTCATCTGTATCTATATCTACATCTATATCTATCTATATCTATATCTATATATTGTTTTGGTTACTCAGGATCTCTTTCATCTCCATATATATGTAAAGATTGGCCTGTCCATTTGTGCAAAAAAGGCCATTTCAATGTTGCTAGGGATTAGATCTGACCTCCACATTCCTTTGAGTGGTATTGCTATGTTGCCAATAATAAGTTGGACAAATCATGGTCTTACTTAGATCTTCCTCACTTTCTTTAAGCATATTTGACATTTCTAGTGTACATGTCTTTTGCCTCTTTGGTTCAATAGGACTCTATTTTAAATAGAATTTAATTCTATTTAATTAAGAATATTTAATTTCATTTTCAGATTGTTCAAAGCTGGTGTATTACAAACATAACTGATATTTGCATGTTGATAAAATTCCCTGCATCTTTGCTGGATTCATTTATTAGATCTAGTAGTTATTTTGTGTATATGGATTATTTGGGATTTTCTCTATATAGGATCATGTCATATACAAATCAAGATGTGTTTATTCTTTCCATGCCAATTTGGAGAACTTTTATTCTTTTTCTTGCCTACTTGCTCTGTCTAAGACATATTTGAAGAGCAGTGGTGTGAATGGGTATTTTTGACTACTGATCCTCAGTGGCACGGGTTCAGTCTATCACCATAGAATATGAAGTCAGCTGTACGTTTCCCATAAACACTATCATATTGAGGAAGTACCTTTTTAGTCCTACTGCTGTGAATGTTTTTGTCATGATAGATTTTGTCAAATATCCTTTCTGCATTTATTGAGATAACATTATTTTATCCCTTCCGTGCTTTTAATGTGCTGTATTACACTGATCGATTTTGTTAGGTTATACCTTATATAAAATATCCTTTATGTCCTGGAAAAGTTTTTATGTAATTCTACTTTGTCTGATATTAACTATTAATTCATTCTGTTAGATAGCCACCCTTAAATGATTCTTAAAGGGTTGTCATCAAGTGCCCTACAAATTAGCTTTAATACAGTTTTGTCAATTCTTACTTCAAAACATCTATTTCTTCCTTCCTCTGCGTTTTTTGGCTGTCCCCTGCTCCCAGCCCCTTACTCCACTGGGCCATTGTAGCTCTGTGTGACTCCATCCAGCATAACACTATGAGAGCTACCACACCAGATGAAGCCTTAACACTTTTGTTGTCCTTTTATAATTCCATGACTGCTAATGCAAATCTAAAATTAAAAATTCAGAAGAGTACAGCAACATGGCAGAGTAAAAGGCTGCATGCTCACATTCCCTCACAGAAACATTAAAAAAAAAAAACCAAAAAACAACTAGACACTAACTCAAACAACTATTCAATACTTGGGAAAACAGTCAGGGATATACAAAAATCAAACATATGCACACTCAAGAAAAAATACACACTGAAAATGGTAGGAATTTCCATGGTAATTTTATTTTCACTTGTCCCACACTTCTCCTGGAATAGCATGCCACAACGCAGAAGTGATAGCCCTGGCTTTGAAGTCATCAGCAGAAGAACAGAACCTATTGTCAATGTCTTAATCCTCTGTGGGTTCCGAAGCGAGAGATTCATCTCTTGCCAGACTTGGAGCTCTGACAGTATAAGAATGACAGTATAGCTCAGATACCAGGTTGCTGGGAGTCTTGCAAAATAATAGAGGACAGCATGGCATGTAAGGGCTTCAGGGATACTGCAGAATTTAGAATCTTGGGGCAAAAGATTATGGATATAAAATGCAGTGAAATACCTAAAGCCATGGGGAGAATGATGAGACTCTTTGGGAACTTAAGACATTAAAAAGTAGCCAAGTATAAAGGAAAAATCAGGTCAATAAACTCATATTCTAAGGTCCAGACAAGACAAATGCCCAGAAAATGGGTGAGAAGTTATTAAAGCCTTCACCCCTGTCTGATCCAAAGGACCAAACATTCCCCACTCCTTAGTGAAGATCTTTCATGACAGTATGCAAACACTGGCAGGGGGAACTGTTTACTCAAGTGGCCATTTTTCTCCAAAGATCACAAGGCATACTAAAAAAAAAAATCTGTAGTATGTCATTCAAAAAAAAATAAACATCTAGAAATGCTGCTTAAAGACAAATGATCATTGGATTTAGAAGGCAAAGACTTTTAAGAAATTGACCAAATATGCTCAGATTGCTAAAGGAAAACATGGACAAAGATCTAAAGGAAATCACAAAAAAAGTATGTGGAACAAATTGATCATATTACAAAGAGAAAGTACTTTTTAAAAGGAACGCAAATCTAGAGAGTAAAAAAAAATACAATAACAGAATACAAAAATTCACTGCAAGATTTCAACAGCAGACTCAAACAGACAAAAGGGTCAATGAACTTGAAGACAGGTCATTTGAAACTATTAAGTCTAAGAAGCAGAAAGGAAAAAGGTTACAGAAAAATTCGAATAGAGTATAAGGAACTTATGAAACCCCATCAGGTAGATTAATAAATGCACTATGGAAGTCCCAAAAGAAGAGTAAGAGGAGCAAAGAGATTGAGGAAATAATGGCACATGACAGGATATTTATGTACACAACTCTAAAGATAACAAACACAGAAACACAAAAACCTGTCAAAATTAATAAATTAAGGAAAGTAGCAAGAAACAAAGAGACCTCAAAAAAGCCAATTGTTTTTCTATATGTAAATAATACACATTTTAAAAAATAGATGAGAAAACAAATTCATTTGCAATAGCATCAAAAGAATACTTAGGAATGCACTTGACAAAGGAGATGAAAAAAATTTACATTGAAAGCTACAGGACATTGTTAAAAGAAATTATACATCAGACTTCATGGATTAGAAAACTTAATAGTTTTAAGATGTCAGTACTACCCAAGGTGGCCTTGAAACATGCAATCTTTATTTCTGTTGAACAACTTTTTAATTTTTGTGAAATAGAAAAGCCCACACTAAAATTCATATGGAATTTCAGAAGATTTGGAGTGCCCAAAACAATTCTGACTAAGAGGACAAAGTTGGAGGTCTTGCAATTCCTGAATTCAAAAGTTACTTCAAAGCCACAAAAATCAAATAAATGTGGCATTGGCATAAGGACAGACCTACAGAACAATGAAATAAAATAGAAGGCCAAGAAATAAACCATAATATGTATTAGGTCAAATAACTTTGGGCAAGGATATCAAGACCATTCATTAGGTAAAGGACAGTCTTTTCAACAAATGCCATTGAAAAACTGAATTACCACATGCAAAAGGCTGAAGTCTGACAGTATGCCATATTAAAAAAAATAAACATCTAGAAATGCTGCTTAAAGACAAATGATCATTGGATTTAGAAGGCAAAGACTTTTAAGAAATTGACCAAATATGCTCAGATTGCTAAAGGAAAACATGGACAAAGATCTAAAGGAAATCACAAAAAAAGTATGTGGAACAAATTGATCATATTACAAAGAGAAAGTACTTTTTAAAAGGAACGCAAATCTAGAGAGTAAAAAAAAATACAATAACAGAATACAAAAATTCACTGCAAGATTTCAACAGCAGACTCAAACAGACAAAAGGGTCAATGAACTTGAAGACAGGTCATTTGAAACTATTAAGTCTAAGAAGCAGAAAGGAAAAAGGTTACAGAAAAATGAATAGAGTATATGGAACTTATGGAACCCCATCAAGTAGATTAATAAATGCACTATGGAAGTCCCAAGAGAAGAGTAAGAGGAGCAAAGAGATTGAGGAAATAATGGCACATGACAGGATATTTATGTACACAACTCTAAAGATAACAAACACAGAAACACAAAAACCTGTCAAAATTAATAAATTAAGGAAAGTAGCAAGAAACAAAGAGACCTCAAAAAAGCCAATTGTTTTTCTATATGTAAATAATACACATTTTAAAAAATAGATGAGAAAACAAATTCATTTGCAATAGCATCAAAAGAATACTTAGGAATGCACTTGACAAAGGAGATGAAAAAAATTTACATTGAAAGCTACAGGACATTGTTAAAAGAAATTATACATCAGACTTCATGGATTAGAAAACTTAATAGTTTTAAGATGTCAGTACTACCCAAGGTGGCCTTGAAACATGCAATCTTTATTTCTGTTGAACAACTTTTTAATTTTTGTGAAATAGAAAAGCCCACACTAAAATTCATATGGAATTTCAGAAGATTTGGAGTGCCCAAAACAATTCTGACTAAGAGGACAAAGTTGGAGGTCTTGCAATTCCTGAATTCAAAAGTTACTTCAAAGCCACAAAAATCAAATAAATGTGGCATTGGCATAAGGACAGACCTACAGAACAATGAAATAAAATAGAAGGCCAAGAAATAAACCATAATATGTATTAGGTCAAATAACTTTGGGCAAGGATATCAAGACCATTCATTAGGTAAAGGACAGTCTTTTCAACAAATGCCATTGAAAAACTGAATTACCACATGCAAAAGGCTGAAGTCTGACAGTATGCCATATACTAAATTTAGTCAAAATGGATCAAACACCTAAATATATGAACTAAAATTATAAAACTCTTAGAGAAAAATACAGGGGAAATTTTCATGCCATTGCATTTAGTAATAATTTCTTGGATATGTCACCAAAAATACAGGGAACAAAATTAAAAATCAGTACATTGGATTACATCAAAAAGAAATAGTTTGGACATCAAAGGACACTATGAGCATAGTGAAAAAGCAACCCAGGGAATGGAAAAATGATTGCAAATCATCTTTCTGATAAGGGACTGATATCCAGATTATATAAAGAATTCTAACAATTCTGAAAAACAAAACAAACAACATGATCCACAAATAGGCAAAGACCTAAAGAGATATTCTTCAAAGACAATATATAAATGTCCATTAAGCTTATGACATGGTAAAAATTACTAACTAGGGAAATTCTAATCAAGCCACAATGAGACACCAGTTCATACCCATTAGATGGCTAATATCAAAAATATATATATAAAAGTACAAAAAGAGGTGTGTTTCATCATGGGTAGCTAATCTCCTTAAAAATTATTTCATGTTGTGGCTTCTCACTACATAATTATTGTAGACGTGGTAGTAAAAATGCAAATGAAAATACCAACTTACTAAAGCACTTTTACCATCAGGCTAGGACTAGGATAAGGCAGATGAAGAGCCTTGGACATGTTACTTAAGGAGATCCTCAGTCTCAGGATCATGTAAAAGCTAACATAGTACTTCCATGATGCTTAAAAAAGTGCTTCCTTAAAAGTGTGCCTGTGGTGAGTAATGACAGCAAGATGGCAGCATGGGAAGCCCTAGACATTGGAAGCCCTAGACACTACATCCCCCTAAAGACATGCTAATTCAGCAACATTTCACTGACTAATTCCCCTTGGGAGAAATCCAAAAGCCAACTGAAAGAGTAGAGCACCCCAAGCAAATGTGTAACCAGATTCACCAGTCAGCAGGTAGTAATCAAAACAAACTCTCACCTGAATCCCTACCCTGGCATGTGCATATACTCCTGCACAAGAATAAAATTAGGCCTTTACCTTACACCACACAAAAAACTCAGCTCAAAGTGGATTAAAGATTTAAACATAAGACCTGAAATTGTGAAGCTCTTAGAAGAAAATGTAGAGGGAAAACTTCATGATATTGAGCAATGAGATAGCACCATGCATGGGCAACAAAACCAAAAATAAACAAGTGGGACTACATCAAACTAAAAAGCTTCTGCACAACAAAGGAAACCAACAACAGAGTGAAAAGACAACCTACAAAAACGAAAATATTTGCAAGATAAATACCTGATAAGAGGTCAATCTCCAAAATATTTAGGAAACCCCTAAAACTCAATAGCAAAACAAAATCTTATAGTATCATAAAAAAATACCACAATGAGGTATCATTTCATACCTGTCAGTACAGCCATTATCAAAGAGCACAAGGGTTGAGGATATGGAGAAATTGCAACCCTTACACACGATTGCTGTTAGTGTAAAACAGTGCAACGGTACAGGAAAAGAGTATGGAGATTCCACTAAAAATAAAAATGGAGATGCCATATGATCCAGCAATCCCTTTTATGTATACATACCCAAAAGGATTGAAATCAGGATCTCAAAGATCTATCTGCACTCCCATGTTTACTTAACAGCTATTCACAATAGCCAAGATGTGGAAACAGCCTTAATGTCCACTAAAAGATGAATGGTTAAAGAAAAAGTGAGTATACCACATACTAAATTTAGTCAAAATGGATCAAACACCTAAATATATGAGCTAAACATACAATGAAATACTATTTAGCCTTAAAAATGAATGAAATTATACAGCATGTGAAAATAGAGATGAACGTTGAGGCCAATAAGCTAAGTGAAATAAAGCAGTCACAGATTGCCAAACACTGTATCAGTTCACTTATATGAAGTATCTAAAATAGTCAAATTTGTAGAGTCAAAAAGTGGACATTTGTTTCCAGGTGTTTTGGGGAAGGGGAAAATTATTATTAAACAGGTGAAGAGTTTCAGATAAAAAGGTGAATAAGATACAAGTCTGTTGCAACACATGGTACTGATAGTCAATTAAATGTACTGTCTAAAAATTTTCTTAGGGGGTTAGATGTATTGCAAGTATTCTTACAACAAGAATAGAACAGAATAGAAAAACTAAATACTAAAATATAACATAATATTTACATGTAAGTTTGGAGGTACCAGAGAGAGAAAGCGAGGACAGCGCAAGTGGAATAAAGACAGCACCAAATAGCTCTGTGCCATATAAGGAAGCAACAGAAAGCTCTTCCTGCATTCCAGTCCCATGACGTGCCGACAAACGCCGGATGCAGACCCCGTCCATTCGGAAGGAGGAGACCTCTGGTTGTCCATCACCCAACCCTGAGCCAATAAAAATTCCCCACATACCCCTGGTATGGCCCACTTCCCCCTCCCTTCCCTGTGCTTATAAAAACTCCCACCTGTCTGCTTGAGCGGGACTTTTCTGCCCTGTGTTTCTGTAGACTGATGAACCTCGCCCAGGATTGCACTCAAATAAACTGCCTGGCCTTTTGTCGCCTCTCATCACCTGCTCATTTCAGTTAGAATTTATCTTACAATTATAATGTAATATAACACAATATAGAAGGGAATACATTAGGTATTTTGGCTGTCTCACCCTACTTCACTCCCATGATCCCACTGGCAGGGGCAGCAGCCAGCTCTGCACTGAAGGGCTCTGCATGAAGTCCACATTGCGTGCTAAAGTGTACTTACTGGTGGCAGTGGTTTAACAGGTTTGGCCGTTAACCCTCCGACATACACAGTGTTGGGAAGCAGGGGCCGAGCAAATTCAAAGGCAAAGTCAGAGTTAACAAACCACAGCTCTGCTTTCTTTTGAAGATGAGACAAAACTGGCCTACAGCATCCAGGAAAATGCTCCTTGATGGTGTTGTCAAACGTAGAGTAGATTTTCCAGTTCTTCATGGAGAAATCAAAGAACATCAGAAAATTCTTCACTCGACCCCAGAAGTCCATGCGGTCGGTTAGCAAGGATTGGTATACTGGCACATAAGACAAGGGGCTTGGCAACCCAAAGTCTGCAGAGCCAAATGGGGAGGGAAGAAGGGACACAAATGGTTTCCCAAGCTTCTCAGCAAGCAGGAAAGAACAGAAGTCAAATGCTTCAACAAATACCAGGTCAAAGTTCTCACTTTTTAAGGAATGCATGATATCACTTCTCTTTAGCAAATGACTGCATCGAGTCCCCAGTTGTTCCATTATCTTTACAAAGTTCTCATGTGCTTCTCTGTAAAAAAAATATTTAGTGACAAATGTTCATTAGAGGTATTAATTGCACAATACTTAAGAGAATCTTTGAGTCAATGAAAATATCACAGGTATGAGCATATCTAGCAGCTACCCCACCACCACTACCACCACCTATTTCAACACCGTCCAACACATACCCTCAGCCCTGGTCAATCTGTTGCAGGTGTTCCTATTCCCTAAAGTTTCTCACTTCCTCCTGCCCCTTTCTCTGGCAGATCCAAATCCACACACTGTCAATGTAAATTCAATGTCCTCAGCTTTGGGAGTCATCTCTACCTGTAGCAGATCTCACAATCTAATGTGTACTTGAGATATTCTTTGATGCTCTAACTTTTATCTGTATACTCACTTTTTATGAGTGTCCATCTTGTTTCTCAGCAAAATTGTGGAAGTAACTTGATAACAGAGTCCATCAATATTGATGATAGAGCCTTTTTTTACAAATTATGTAGATTCTACATTTGACAGATTGCCCCACTCAAGGACTTTCTGATAATGATATCAGAACCCAAATTTTAAGCTGAGCCATGAGTTTTATGACTTCCTACTTAGGAATTAAACAATTTAAGAAATAATAATATTAAAAGCTTTCTGAAGCTTACTGGCCTGTCCACTTTATATTTGCTGGAGCATTCACAGAAGTTAATGCTTAAATTTTACTGACACTTAATTAAGGCTGTCATCTATAGCATTATTCCAGGGACTTTTCTCCTTCAATGTTTTCCCATCAGTGCATGCAAAGAAACTGCTCCTTGTTGTACAGTAACTGGTAAAATAGATGAGGAGGCTCCTGACCAGAGTACTGGCAGGTCCAGGTGCTTTGGAACCCCATGGGCTTCCTCGTTGGTTGAAGGATGGTAAGAATCAATTGCCCAACAAACCTATTACCTATACAACACTACACCATGTCAGTCATTTAAAGAAGGCCACAGGTTGGGAAGTCATTAACAATATGCAGATCTCCACCTGCTCTTTATGAACAACTTCAAGTGATGCTAATGGATAATTAACTAAAATTATTCTCTGTTGTATTTTTTAAAAATTTCACAAAAAGGATGACTGTCAAATGTTGATAATCAAGGTATGAAGTGTAAATTCCTCAAAAGTAGTATATTTATATAATTCATATAATCATAATTATATTTGAAATTAAGTTAATTAATTGAAAAAACGTTCAGGAAGGCACTGTGCTCAGTATATGGCATCATATTTAACGTGTGTGGAACCATTCTTCAGAGAAATCTCTCTGGGGAGAACAAAGAAGATACATAGTGAAAAACACATGAATAACAAAATAGGATGATAGAGTCAAAGTTTCAAATGCGTACTTTAGATCATATCTCACAGAGGAGAAAATTTAGTCTTGTACTTGAGTAAGGAAGAGGCTCTATAGAAAAAATTACATTTGAGTACCACCTTGATTAGTAAAAGAATTTTTAAGGAGAGAAATGGGGTGCTGGGTCACTGTAATTAACCACACAAGGAATGAATTTGTGTCTTCCCCCTTTTATGTCAAAGGTGAAGAATTTTCTATAGATAACGGTGACACAGAAACTCTCAGGCTCATCTCTCACTGTGTGTCATCAAGATATTTGGGCTTATTTAAAGTGGGTTCAATAGGCCAGAAGTTCAAGGTATGAAATCAATGTTCATAAGCGTTTTTCCATCCTTGAGTTTATGTGGGCAGAAGGGAAGAAAAATAAGTATAAAATGGTGGATCTGATTTGCCTACCAACAATGAAGAATTAAATTGTCTATGCTTCTTTTTGTGTTTGGTAGATTATGCACAAGTCTGTAGGTGAGATGTTTCCAGGAAGATCCAGAAGGAAAAATTCCCTGCACTATACTGAAATACATTCATGCATTTAGTAAAGCAGACAGTATGCATACTGGATGTTTGGGAATATGAAACCCATCTATTCTACCTATCCATCCTCGCCCCCATTATTGAACTTTCCCTCCATCCATTCATCCATATCAAAATATACACTTCTCTTAAACTCACTCTTAGGATCCATGCAGCCATCCATTCATTTGCATTGCTCAAACAGTAAGTCTTTCATTTAGAGAATAAAAGAAATTACCTGCTCTGCAGAGCTTCTGTCATTATGAAATCCAAGTATTTCTTCATGTCTTTCTCATGATCTTCATGTACATGCCAACTGATAACTTGGTATGATGTTTTTTTCATTTCTAATTCTAAAAAAAAGAAGAGACTATTATGGAGATACTTAAATAAGTCACACAACCCTGATTAACATTAGAATAATGATTTCAGAGCTTTGAAGTTTTCTGCTTGTTTGGTTTGATTTCTCCTTCCTTCAGTCATGTGACCTAGTAGTACTTATAGAAAACCGTACAATGATTTGGTCAATTTTATTCAGTTTAAATACTTGAAGTTTCCATGTAAGGCTTTTATTCCAAGGAATTAAGTATTCCTCATTTTGCAGGTAGGAAAACAAAGATGAATGGAGTGTCAGATAATTTGTTGAGGCACATAGACTGACCAGTATACTTTGCATTTAAATATAGATCTTTCTTATTCCAGTTCCCCAGTCCTTTCTCTTTTAAGAAAAAATCATTTTCATTAATTCAAGTGATATATGCAAAGGTTATTACTCAGCCAAAAGTAACAAAGGCTAAGTTAAAAGTGGTAGTCCTCTGCAGCCTTACTTACCAGTCTGGCCTTTCCCCCACAGCCGTGTGTAACAAACAGACTGACACCATATCTGAACTCTGCAGACATTCAAGCTCCACCTCCCCCCAAAGGTTCTGTGCCTCCTCTGGGAAAACTGAGAAAAAAACCCCAGCATGCCCTCCCCTGGTGTGAGCAAGATCTTCCAACCAAGCAAGCCAGACACAGACAAGGGAACCTTCACCTCACTCCCACCTGGAAGCCTCAATAATTGGCACTTAGAGACAAAATATGGCTTTGGCCTTTAAGTGGTCCTAAGTCCTGTGTCTTAGCCAGCCCTATTTGGGTGTGTCAGATTGGGTAGTGTTTCTCAGTTCCACCATGAGCAGTGATTGACACTAGGGTAGGCAAATCCTGTGACCAATGGGTTGTGTGTCTCAGCCAGGCAATGACCCCATTGTAAACAGTACTTGGGGGTAGGACTGATACTAACAAGCCCACTGAATGGTGTGAAGAAGGACAGTCACCATGTGGCATGATGAGATTCATACTCTAGAAGTATATGGTGCACTAGGACCCTTGAAAATGCCTTTGTTGTGCTTCTAATTATATTTCTGTAGCCAGAAAAGATCTTGATTAAAAGAATAACATGGAAAAACATGATGACAACCCTCTGGCACAGCAAGGAGTTAAATCAAACCCAACTTAACCTCAGGTCTCTCACAATCACCACTGGGAAGCCCCTAACCTAGATGATACTAGTTGGGACACTCTGAGAAAGACTCCTTTGAGCAGGTTAGAAAGGACACCCACCCCTCAAGGTATATCCAATTAGAACCAAAAGGAATGGGAGGAGAGAGAAGAGGCAGAGTGGAAAAATCAGGAAAGAAACTAAAACAGAGGTCTCAGGTTTGACACATTTGGAATCTAACATCACTTAAAATTATATTATAACAAAAATAAAAAGGATTCAGGTTGGCTTTGGTGCCTCTTCATCAGAGGCTCTAAGTTAACATTACATGAGATGCACCAATGAGAAACTCTAATGGTCTTAACTATGGAGCAAAAGTCACAGATATGTCAGAGGGCCCACTAAATTTAAGCAAGTCACCTCTTTATGCTTCAGACTTATAGGAATATTAAATAGAGGTCAAATGTACACACCCTGTCTTAACTCCTGGAATTAAATATCCCATAGTCAAAAGACCCATTTGTTAAATTGTCTCATTGGAAGCATGGTAACTCTTTCTAACAAGTAATAATTAAAATAAAATTAAGGTTTTGGCATTTATAGTTATCTTACAAAAAGAGACCCTTTGGATCAAATATATAAACACAACTCAATGTATCCTTAAATAGTGCCTTCAATCATGAAATTCATTACAAATGATCTAGTTGGGGAATGACTGATTATCATACTGGTTTTCCATTAAAAGCCTAATTTAGACTACTCTTAAACCTGTAGAGAATGAATGAGTCCTTGCATTGGACTACTATAATATTAATGCCATGGTCCCCCATTCCCAATGTTACTGAAATTGCTGACTATACCTAAATACTGACAAATACTTTGCAATCACAGATTTGGTTCATATATCCAATTCAATTCCTAGTTTAATAAGCTCCCAGCTGCAATATCTCCATCTGTGAAAGACACAAATCATCTCTAAATGCCTCTTCATGGATGGAGTACCAAACAACCCTGCTCACAATGTTTGCTGCAAAATCTAAACCACATTTGGGTTTCTCCAGGACCCATGGATGACATTACATTGAAGACATCACCCTCTGCAGCAATTTATTGACTGCACTCACTCACAATATACAAACATTCACAAAGAAGCAAACAAAAGGAGGTGTGTCACTACCCAATGCAAAGCACAAATCATGGCACCTCAGTGCTGCTGGAAAGAATTATTTGGTCAACATCTGTATTGTATATTTTGTGTTCGCCTGTATATATATTTATAATATACATATTCACACATATATATCATCACCTATATATATTCATATATACATATGTCATACACATATTATGGGTAGGTAGATAGATGAGTTCTGAAAGGAAATGATAGGTCAAATGGCAGTTGGGTGTGGCAGACTGGATTAAAGATGGCAGTGTGAGAGGAGATACAGAGGCTTCCTCCTAAAACTGAATACAATTAGAAAATATAGTTGACACAACTAATCCTGAGAGAGCAACAGGAAAGAGGATGATGCCAGACTGCATACACCTGGAGAAAAGAGCAGACCTCATGGAACAGGGTAACGTACCAGAGCTGTGGCCATGCAGGGTCCAAGCCCTTCCCCCATCCCAGCTCACTGGTGGGAGGAAGAGAAACAGAGCAGGGAGGGAGTTGAAGGCCTGGGACTGCTGAATACCTAGCTCCAGAGATCTGCACTGGGAGCATAAACCTACATTTCATGGTGCTTTTACGATACTCGCATGACTACTGGGTTGGAAAGTTAATACAGGCAGAATTCCTGGAGAGACTGAGATTCCAGCCACTTGTGGAAAGCAGGGATCCATATCTGGCTGCTTTGGGACAAAAGCTTATAGCTGTGTGCTTGGCCCACTGGTTAAGGCAGTGGAGACAGGCACAGCAGCTAGAAAGCGGGGAAGAGCTCTTTCCTCCACCCACGCACCAAGACCACTACCCTGTGACCCCTGATATTGCTTCAGGGGCTGAGCAGCTCCAGAGTAGAGCTTCGGGACACTAGAGGGCGCCATATACAAATCTGAAATGCCAAAGGAACCTGGTCCAGAGTAAAATAAATGTAACTCCAGAGAAATATTTAAATGATATGGACCTTATGATTCTTCCTGAAAGGGAGTTCAAAATAAAAATCATCAACATGCTAATGGAGGTACGGAAAGATATCCAATAATTCAGGAATGAATTCAGGTCAGAGATCCAATTGCTGAAGAGCAAGATGGAGGGTATTAAAAGCAGGTTGGATACAGTCGAAGAGATGATAAATGAAATAGAATCTAGAGAAGAGGAATATAAATGAAGCTGAGGCCCAGAGAGAAAAAAGAATCTCTAAGAATGAAAGAACATTGAAAGAACTATGTGACCAATCCAAACGGAACAATATTTGCATTATAGAGATACCAGAAGAAGAAGAGAAAGAGAAAGGGATAGAAAGTGTCTTTGAGGAGGTAGTTGCTGAAAACTTCCCCAGTCCAGGAAAGAAGATAGTCTCTCAGGCCATGAAGATGCATAGATCTGCCAAAACAAGGGACCCAAGAAAGACAAGACATATAGTAATAAAATTGCAAAGATCAAGGGAAAGGACAGACTATTGACATATAGTAATAAAATTGCAAAGATCAAGGGAAAGGACAGACTATTAAAAGCAGCCAGAGAAAGAAATAAGATCACATACAAAGGAAAGCCCATCAGGATAACATCAGACTTCTCAGCAGAAACCTTACAGACCAGAAGGGAGTGGCATGATGTATTTAATGCAATGAAGCAGAAGGACCTCAAACCAAGATTACTTTATCTGGCAAGATTATCATTTAAATATGAAGGAAGGATTAAACAATTTCCAGATAAGCAAAAGCTGAGTGAATTTACATCCCACAAAACATCTCTACAGTCTATTTTGGAGGGACTGCTATAGATGGAAGTGTTCATAAGGTTTAATAGCTGTCACCAAAGGAAATAAAATCACAGTAAAGAAAGTAGAACAGCTAATTACTAAGCAAAGGTAAAATTAAATTAACTATCCCCAAAGTCAATCAAGTGATAGACAACGAATACAGAATATGATACCTAATATATAAAGGATCGAGAAGGAAGAAAAAGGAAGAGAAAAAGAAAAGAACCTTTAGATTGTATTTGTAACAGCATATTAATTGAGTTAAGTTAGACTCTTAGATAGTAAGGAAATTAACCTTGAACCTTTGGTAACCACAAATCTAAAGCCTGCAATGGCAGTTAGCACATACCTATCGCAAATCATCCTAAATGTAAACGGACTGAATGGACCAATCAAAAGACATAGAATCACTGAATGTATAAAAAAACAAGACCCATCTATATGCTGCCTACAAGAGACTCACTTTAAACCCGAAGACATACACAGAATAAAAGTGAAGGGATGGGAAAAGATATTTCATGCAACTAACAGACAGAAAAAATGATGTCTAAGAAGGAAAGAATATTGAGAGACCTGTGTGACCAAACCAAATGGAACAATATTTGAATTATAGGGATACCAGAAGAAGAGGAGAAAGAGAAAGGGGCAGAAAGTGTCTTTGAGGAGGTAGTTCTGAAAACTTCCCCAGGCTGGGAATGGAGATAGTCTCTGAAGCCATGGAGACTTGCAATAGTTGTATCAGACACAATAGACTTCAAAACACAGAAAGTAACAAGAGACAAAGAAGGACATTACATAATGATAAAGGCATTAATTCAATAAGAAGACATAACCATTATAAATACCTATGCCCCCAACACAGGAGCACCCACATATGTGAAACAAATACTAACTGAATTAGAAGGGTAAATAGAATGCAATGCATTCATTCTTGGAGACTTCAACACTCCGC